TAATCGGAGTAAATGCTCAACAATTGCTAACGTTCAAAGAACTAAAAAGAACTCTGAAGAAATAAATTATCCAACAAACGTGGATAATTGTAACGAAGTAAAAAATATCAAAAGGACAGTGATATTTTCATCAAAAGGTAAAGAATTTGTTCAATATGGAGCAATGGAAATTTGTAGAAATGTAGGATTTTCTTAGGCCGCGATGAGATCAACAACTGATTATTTAGTACCACGAATTTGTTGAAAGGGTCTTTTGTTGCACGTCCCTCGTTATAATGTAATTAAACATGAAAGCGAATCGATGACGAGCATCGGGACGACGGGGATGACTTCGAGCATCGATAAAGTTACAACGTCACCGTTAAAGACAACACAGTCAAACACGATGAATTAAAATTGACAATCGGAACAGAACATCAAGAAACCAATTAAGCAGAACGAAGCGTGTGCTTTGATATTAACCGCGATCCTGTGAACTATTGTGAAAAGTAAATCGTACAGTTCGTGTCTTTTTTTTTTTTTCAGCGTGTCTGAAGCATCGAGAATATTTATTCGTTGAATTCCAAATTGCCAAAACGAATGTTGTTAATAAAAACAAATCTATGAACTTTAGTTTCACCCCCTCCCCTCCAAAAAAAAAGCTGTCTGAATTTGCGTAAACATCCAGAATCCGCTGACGATTTTTAAATCTCATAAAAAATCCTCGCTCGCTAGGAGAGATCGATAAAAATTACTCAATAGCCGATCTCCGTCCCTCCCTCCCCCTCTATAACCTTTAAAACCCGTGGAATCGGCGTAGAACACGCGTTTCACAGGTATTCACGCAATCAGCCTTCCACTTCCGCAATATCGTCGTAACTCGTAGAAACGATCTCGGGAGAGGGCCACCGCGAGAAACGCTGTAAAAGGTCAAATTCCTTCGATTCGACGAGGCTCTCCTCATCAAATTACGAGCCGCGAGACGAAGAACCGTGCGACCGAGGGGCAAAGAAAGGTTGGATTGCGTATGCATTCGTTATTTGCGGTTTATATGGGGGACAACAGCGAGAAGAAAGAAAGAGAGAGAGAGAGAGAGAGAGAGAGAGAGAGAGAGAGACGAGGGAAGAAGCCAAGAGGTCCCGTGCAGATTGGCGAGACAGAGAGATGCAGAGAGGTGGAGAATAAACCGATACAGAGATACCGCATCCAGGCGAAAGCCGACAAGCCAACAACTCTCGAAAGGGCCTGTGCTGTTGGGGTGCCGCGAGAAGACGGCTGGAATGCACCAAGAACAGGTCGCAAGGCTGCCGACATTCCGAAATTTGCAACGGCCTCGGCACAGGGGACCGTGTCCCATTGTACGTGGACGAAAATTGCCCTGGTCTCCCGACGAGATGAGCGAAAAAATAGCGGCTAGACCGCTGATACTTTCCGCTTTCTCTCAACGAAGCGAAATAATAGATTTTTCAAGCCAGAGCCTCGAATCGATCACCCTTTTTTCGGATTCTATATTATCTCTTGGATCGCAAAGAGATTTATTTCATTTAATCTAGATTTATTTTACTTTTTGAAACGAGAAATCTTCTTTTTTTTTTTTTTTTGAACAAAATTATAACCAGATTCGCGTCTACTACTAATTCTATATTATTTTTCGAGAGAAGAAAACAGATTTTTAGCACGATCCTATTCTATTCTAAGACAATTTGTCTTCAAAAATCGAATTCTCAAGATAGAAAGGAAGAGCAGTGAAAATTTCAAAGTTAAATATGCACAGTCCCGATCAAAAATTTGGAGCATGTTAACACTTCAAAGGGAATAATGATAATCTTCGAGTAAATAAATATTTTTTATTCGTAATATTAGTTTTTCACAGTACTGAGATTTTCATTAATCAAAGCTGCAACTGCAACAATTTTATTTTTTCCCAGAGAAACGTGGAAGAAAGTTTATTTCGTCCTCGAAAGTTTATTAAGTTTGTTTCATTTACGTGGGAGTGTACATATTTCAATTTCCTATATCTCGATATTCAAAATCAATTATTGTATTTCATGCAATATAAATTACGCAACTCATGTCGATGCTTCGTAAACATTTCCAAAGGGAAACATTTCAAAGGTAAAATCAATACATCCAATATTTTACGCGACGTGCAATTTTCCTGGCATCATTAGCGGAAACCAGAAACGCCGTTCGTCATTCATCGTATCGACTATACGTTTCTCTAGACCGCAAAAACCGTCTATACCTATTCAAAGTGTTCTTTTTTTCTTCTGGAATTGATTGCTGCGTAAAAAGCAGAAATACACGCGAGAGAGAGAGAGAGAGATAATCGTGGAGAATCGAAGGAACTTCCATTGGAGAATAGAGAGAATCAGAGACGAGACAAAAAAAGGTAATAAACGTTGTCTTATCGAGCGGACTTTAAACAGAGAACTATTCTCGCGATATTAACATATTTTATTAATATATTACACGTACCATTTTATTAATATATCATTCATACACACGTGTTCATAAATATTAGACAATCTATTAACATCGGTATTATAATAAATGTTACAATTAAATGTTATATCAAGTAAATTTGAAAAATCATTAGGAGATTATTAAATCCTCCAAGAATTAATGATTAAATCATTAGAATTTTCTATCTAATTAATCTTAAACTTTTTAATAATTTAAGATATAAAACTTTTAAGATATGAAACGTGATTGTTAGAATTTATCATATCGTTGTGATCGTTCCAAGAAATTTCGACAGATTTTCCTGTGTTGCCTTACAAAATTATTTAAACATTTATTATAACATTGTACATATGTTATGTGAAATATCTTGCAGTTCCATTAACATGATCGATACGACAATATTGATGGAATTTGAAACCATACAATTCAAAAGTGTATATAGAAATTGCAAAACACTCATTGCGAGCGTACTTTTGTGAGCAAACGCAAAATTCTGATTAGATTAATTATTCATGTTTCGTACGAGACCAGTAGGTGTCCTAATATTTATGAACGACAATGTTTCTACGTTGTATTTCAAGCACGATACCATACGATGCGCGGCGTGAATTGATTTTTAACGCTTTTATTTTGCGGACCTCTGCCACCCTGCCCTTCCCCCACTTTTACGAGGCAATTTCGCTCATCGACGACCGTATTGAGCCCCGTTGTAAATAAAAACCACAGGCAGAAGGAAGAAAACCGTACTATAAAGATTCCTGTTTTTCTTCTTTTAACGTCCCCTAACTTGTACCGCGTGCCACGTATTTATGTCCCAGTCCCCGTGGCGAGGCTACTTTTTCGCGCATTCGTTTGTAAATTACTATTACGATTTAATCGGAACGACTTCGGAAGATAGAAAACAAAAAACGAAAGAAGTGAAATAGAGATAATCTCGAGGATTCGAAAAGTTTTATTATTAGAGGAAAAAACGCAGAGGAAAAAAAAAACGGAGAGACGAGGGTTCTTGAGGGTTCCAAAGAAACTTCACTTTTTAGTGAAAGATATAAAAGGATCTCGAGATCCTTGAGAGAACCTTCGATCTATTTAAGAGATATATTTTGAACGACTTTATACGATTGATCGAGATTAACCTTGGAAAGCCCTCAACGCCTCCGCCAATAGTAATTTCTTTCAATCCATCTTCGTCAACCTTGAATTCCACTTACATATATTTCACATTTCGTTTTTAATTCTATTGGTGAATTAAACATACGGTCGGTATGTGTTTTTCCATTTACCAGAAATGGATTTCGATTATGTTACAATCTACACTGCAGTTATATTATGGTGCCGAATATAGGGTTATAATCGCGAAATAACGCATATGGTATTGGACTGAAAGAAATGTATGTACGTGTACGTATAGCATGATGACTAGACTGTTTACACAGATTCATATTTTTATCAACACGACTAAACACATTTGTTTCCATTAAAATTTCATATAACGCGTTATAGCGTCTACAACCACCCTGTAGCCTAATGTTTCCTTGTCCGTGTGATTTATCATTTAAATGGATAAACCAACAACTAATTACTACACGTGTTATAAATGGACTACTTGATGAGGAAACAGTGGTTTAATAAAGAATAGTGTAATGATACATGTACGATATGATACTTGAGAAATACAGCAGATGGATATATGAGCCTCTCAGAAGCCAAACTGATAAATTCCACTCTGCATTCATTTTGTCTCCGTCAAAGAAAGATGACACAAATAATGGTAAAATTTAAGATAATTACTTTTCTAATCCATGAAATTAATCAATCTCGCGTCTGAACAACTTGTAACTTTCAAGTCAGATGACAAATTGCGTTCGTGAAACGCGACGAATATCTACATTTTAATAATAAAAGATCTATAAATCTCGTATGCCTGAACTATCTAATCTAACCTATACGGTTCATATAACGCGCGACTTCTTACAAAACGTCTAACCTAAAAAAAAAAAACACGTCTGCGTACTGTGTAAGGACGCATTGTATTTTAATTTCTATCTAATATTTATTATATGTATCTCTTGTACATTCCTGAAATTTCTGTCAAACGCAAAAACGTGCACAGTCCAATCGTGACGAACGAGCCGCTACATTGGCGCGACGAAAGCCTCAAAAGAGAAACTGCACGGCTGTCTGGGGTTGAAAACCGTTGGTCGTTCCGTGGACTAATCGCGTTCACCGTGCACGCTCATCTTACATAACATCGACGTCCTGACCGTCAGGACCTTCGTCCTTCTGCCTGGTCCCGATCACGGCATGGAATTCGAGGGCGAGCAAGAAAGAGAAAATGCCGGCTCGCGACGAACCGTGTACGCACGCGTGAGATGGAGCGAGACGGAGACACATACGCAACCGTACGTTAGAAAGAGAGGATAGAATGAAGACAGAGCAGGATAGACAGATAGAGAGAGACAGCGAGTACGAGAGCGAGCGAGATATACAGACGCACGCAGGGAAGAAGAAAGAGACAGAAAGGGAAAGAGATAGAGAGTCCATCAAGCAAAACTCACCCTGTTGCATTCCAGAGCCTCCGCGCTGTGCTCCTCCTTCTGCTTGAAGCAGCTGCTGCACTTGCTCTTGTTGAATATGTTCGGCGCGAACTTCCTGCACTCGGCGCCGGTGCCACGGACGCCCGCCGTGCCGCCCGACATCGCGACACGTGCGAATTAACCACGACGACCGGACAGCACCATCGTTCGTCTCTCGCCCTCTTTTTCTTTTTTATCCTTCACCCTTTTCGTTCACCGTCGTTCACAAGCACCGAGAACGCGACGAGCAAACACGCCGACCAAGTACACGCCAACTAAACACCGACTAAATGCGCACAAACCAACTGCGCATAAATCAAACGTAACGCTTCCGAGCGATAAAAATCGATTTATATCGATTGCTCGAGAAGCACGAAACTCCCAGACACGATTCCCCAAAGTTCTTTCTTCCATACATTGACACGAGTTTTATCAAATCTTATTTATCTCAACTCGTATAATATACAATTTCGTTTTTTTATACAAACGCGCTCCAGCACCACCGACGACGAGTCAATCCCCAGCGGCCACTCTCCGCGTATCCGTTACGTTTAACGGATCGAGTTAACAGGATTTCGTATTCTCGTTTCGCGTAAAGATCACTACTTACAGAGCAATCGATCATCAATGATACGTTTTCGATATGTTTCGTCAATTTTGTTCGTTGGTATCTTGCATGCAGTTAGGTCGAGAAAGAATCGAGAGTCGACTATATATCGAAACGATATACTGTTTGCTTAGACGAAGAGAGTAAACTGTGCGCGAATCGGCGCCAATGTACGAATAGTATTACGCTCTCTCGCGATGGTTGTACTCCATAACCGGAAGAAACTCCGATACGCTTCTCTGCTCGTTGTTTACATAAGGTTCGACTATACAGCATATACGTGCTTGGCTCCGTTTGAATTTCGTAATGTATACAGACGCTTGTATGTTTACAGTGTATTCATGTCTCACGCAGAATGGATACAATATACAGCGAGATAAGGTATCGACCTTCGCGACCCAATCAACTTGTTGACAATGTTTCCCTTGAATACCGTACGCTGTTCAATGCAAGCACGTGGATTATACGCATTACTCCGAATCACACGAATCTATTATTCGACACAGTGGTACGCACCGCAGTTAACATGTCACAGCACCGATCTATCGATCGTTCAACCAATCGAACTGTCAATCGCACACGATAAAAGTGTGCGATATAGCGCACGGTCATTCAATCGAGCAAAAGACTCGGCCACTCGTTCTTTTCGTACGATCGAAACTCGCCTTGGATTGTGTAGAGATGAGGCTGAGATGTAATTATTCGATTGCCCACAATCCACGATATACGGACAGTAGCACCAGGAGCACCACGATCCTTACGTACGCTTATACTGCATCGTACGCTTATACTGCATCGACTGTCACTGCAATAATCCGGTGATACGCGCGCGGACCGAAATGCAACACACGCGACGACTACGGCAACGAGCACGACGACGATACTCGAGCACACTTACGACACATCGCGTTGTGCTCTCCATGACAGAACGCTCCCGCGGACGTCCATCTGCGATCTGGCCCGTTTAACTCGGCCTCTAAGCCGTCCACAGCGCTTACTCTCGCTCGATCGACCGTAGCACGCCCGTTCGGGTACAAGACTACGCCAGCGCCAAACTAGTCCCCCGTTCGCCCGCTGGAATAAAGCGCCATGGCGCAGCGTAAGAATTATAAGAACTAATCATTTCGCCCTTTTCTTTTATCTATTTTCTTTCAATCCCCGTGACCATGATTCACCCGTAGAATAATTTATCAATCATCAATATTAGTAAACTGCACTTCTTTCATAATTTTACGATTTTATTTTCAAATAAAATGATCAAATGACTCGCACAATAACCTATACAATTCGATTGCAAAATTTCATTTGGCTTATTATTAAACTTATTTTCGTTACACAAAACAATTTATTAATACACGTAATAGTAATGTTTCACTAATATTCACTAGTTGATAAATTATTCTGCAAAAAGTCTCCGACTACGATTGTTTATGAAAAATTGTACTATAGAAAAGTATATAAAATATTAAAAATAAATCCAATCTCTCCTCATTTATTTAGTTATATTTATAAAAATATGAATTGTCGTGAACATTCGTAATCTAGTTGGTCGATATTTTTCGTCTTCATTATTTAGAATTCTTAGTTCAAACTCAAATTTTGATTGTAACACTGATACTTAAAATAAACAACAATTCTTAGATACAAAGAATTTTATGAAACTTTGTACTAAAATATTTTACGTATCATCGACCATAACTCATATAAATATATAATTGACGAGGTAAAAAAGCATATTTATAATTGATATATGATACGTTGTATTTCGTGAAATGTTACTTTGCTAGGAATATTCAAATAATTATAAATACCTTTCTAGAAGACGATACTTCTTCTCCTCTTCAAACATAGTTACGTACTACGGCAAATAAAAATATATTTGCCACTTTCATGGAGAAACACGTTCGAACAAGTTTAAGAAGCAAGCTACGACTTGATTCATGCGAATGCTTAAATTGGATCAGCTGATTTTCACGTCCGGTTCGATATTCGAGATTTCCTTTTCCGGTTCATTCTGACCAACGTTCCAGTGTTTGGAAGACTGACTGTAAAGATGGTAGATGAAGCTGGTGACAGGTTCGTCGACTAAATTATTTTCGGCTTTTTATATAAAATTTGATACTTCTAATTAGTACTAACATACATATTCTAATATAATACAATAACATAATACTTATTTTGAAATGAAATTAACCTCACATTCGTATCCTGGAATTCAAGAAATTAATCTTTCATAATCTCTGCTAGATGTCCATGAATGTTTCATTAATAGTAAATTCAGTTCGATAGCAAAATTAGAGATGATTTCATTACGAAGATTCATTATTTTTATATATCATGTCCATTCTTTTCATGAATTTTTTGCACCTCCTGTCAATTTTAGTATAATTTCTCATTCTTTAAAATATATATTATTTTCTCAAAGACTTAGATTTCAAAAAAAAGAAAAAAAGATAATTTTATTTAAACGTGCGACATTAAAACTAAGCTTACTATTTCTACTACAAAAGTGTTTGTATTCAAACAAATGGAATGTTGATTAGTTACAATCAACATCTTACATAACACAAAAAAATTTCACTTGTGTTAAGGTCATTGTTTGATTTAATTTACACAATTGTTATATATAGAGCTGCTTTAGTTTTACTGCTTTTAGTTTTACTAGAGTGCTTAGAGATTGTATCTGTTTTTACAACTGAAATGGTTTAAACAATCTGTATAAATATTATATTTATTTGTTTAAATGTATTTATTGTATGACTTGTACTTATTTGACAATTAAGTGTGAATTTTTTTTCAGAGAAGAAATTTCAAATGTTGCCATTATCAAAGAAGTGTACGATAATGAAAACGCACATGAGACGTTCGAATATGAACTAGAAAGAGCATTAGAATCTGAATGCAGTTTAATTATTATTGAACCATCTAAATTAGGTGATGAAACCTCCAGGTGGATAGCAGTAGGAAATTGTCTTCATAAGACTGCAGCATTATCTGGTCTTGCTGCCATAGCCACAGGTTTTTACGATTTATTTTTTATATTATATATATATATATATATATATATATATATATATATATATATATAAAATATTATACTTTGTATAAAATATTGTGTATTATTGTGTATTTCACAGGTCTAATTTGGGGTGATCAGCCATATATTTGTGGCCCATTAGGTTTTACATCCGTTATATCCTGTGGACTTTATACTGTTTCTTGGCAGTTTGATCCCTGTTGCCAATATCAAGTAGAGACTGACACAAGCAAATTACCACATGTAGAATTGTTAGCTGTTTTAGGACCATCTTCTCCAACATTTCTTGTAAGAAAAGATGACACAAGAAGAAGAATTCTTCATACAACTATTACATTGGTAGCTCTGGGTATCAGTGCATGGAGAGTTTATCAAGCATTTAAATGAAATGTTTTACTATCAGGAAAGAAAGAATCTGAGTTGTAAAAAAACAGTAAGGTAGGCCAAATGATGATCGTAATAAGGCCTAGCATAGAAATTTGTGAATTACAATTTCATGTATATTAGTGGGGATTGTTGAGTCACACAAATCTATTTTTGTTTGTATTTCTTTTACGTTTCGACTCTACCTCATCAGGTGGATGCTGATTTTATAATAAATAATAAAAGGGAAAATATGTAATAAAACAGACTAAGTAACACATCTTCTAAAATCACTTCAAATCTAAAACATGATACTTCTTAAAACTTCACATTGTTACTCTATGATCTCCATCTTGTTGATTCTATTACAGTTAATATTAACACAAAAAAGACACAATCATATTCACGCAATTATCTGCGTGATACAACTACTGATGTAAGTGTTGTTAGATTTATGCAAAATTGCAACCATACACCTGGAAAGTTGGACTTAGAACTATATATTTTTAGATTGTAAATAAAGTAGATAGAATACACTGCATATGATATATTAAAGAGAATGTTGCCTAGATTTTCTCACCCAATGATACAGCCCACTACATGAAAAAAAAAACATTTTTTAAAAACATATAACTTCTATGTTTGTATTTGGTAAACATCTTACTTAGTGTAATATACAAAAATTTTGTTAATTACATAAGACTCATCATATGATATGGAATATCAAAAATAAACGTCACAAACATTCCTGTAAGTAATGATAAATGTTACAATATAAGAAATTTTTAGAAAAATTTTGAGTTGAATAATGTGTCAAAAGTTCTTGCAACTATTTGTAAATATATCAACATTCTATAACTGTATGACCATGTAGTAAACTTAACACAAAAACTGCTATTTACATCATAAGTAAGAAAATCTATACTACTTTAAAAAGCTCTTGATATATTTATTCTTTCTTAACATAAAAAAAAGATTTATTTCAATCAATGTGTGTTTTTTAATATTTATCTACTTTGTTTTAATATTTAAAAAAGTCTATAATACAGGAAATAATAAAATGGAAAAAAAGAAACAATAAAATCAGCAGTCCATTTTATATAGAATCTACGAGTTTAACTATCTTTGCATAATGTTTTTTTACCTATAAATGCAGAATAAAATAGGTATTATGGTTTATATTTTATGCACAATACAAACACATACTTTGCTATATTGATGTGAAAAATATTTGTACTTTTTTTTAATTAAATTAATGTCAATTAGTTCTTATTAACAAAACATCACTGATAAATAACAAAAGCTTAAATAACTGTTAATAATCCTGCCATGACAACAGAATTCGTATCAACCACTGTACATTATACATCACACTTTAAATGTTTCAGTTATTAGCCAAATATTTGTTATGGTACAATTGATATTTCATAGTTGTAACATACGAGAGAAATATGCAATAAATATTTACTATGGATAAAGATATATTTGATGAATGGTGTTAGGTAAATTTATTGTTCTGTGTCATTTATAACTTAAAAGGTTTTGGTTTCTTTGCATTTCCAAGCATTTATTTTCTACTTGAAATTATTATACAAATACTTTTTTGTATATCTATATTTTACAACTTCTATTATATTTATAAAACAAAATTTCAGTAACTTATTATGTTCAGTAACTTTATATATTCCATAACTTTTTAAGTTTTAGATGACACATATATTTTAATGTGCTTCAATCTAAATTGCATTAAAAAGTTTGTAGTATTAAAATGTATATAATGTAAACATATTCTGCTACTGAGTGACATAATAATAAAATATAATTTGGATATAATTTTGGTCTAATATATTTCGTAAAATTATGTCATTGTTTTTAAAAATACCATTATTTTCGCATAAAATTTAATTTATTATGTACTACAATATATACAGTAATTTATATTTCGTTTTAATTACAACTTAACAACAAAAAATAACATAAAGATAAAAACAAAATATTTTATAACAAATAACAAGTAATTGGCCATTTATTGTAATTATATTTATGACAAATTATTATAATTGAATATTATGATGTCTTTGCCTTTGATTTCTTAAATTCTTTTTGCATTATCCAAAAATATAATGATGGATATAAAGTGCGTATATATACCACAAGTTTTGGAATAAATGGTGCTATTAACACATCTTTTTTTTCTTTCAATACTGCTTTTAAAATACAATCTGCTGCATATATTGGGTCATATCCCTCTTGTGTAGTTTTATCCATTACTGTAATAATAATGTTTATACATTATTTTTATAATTATTTTTTGCTAAGATTAATCAAATCTTTTTATCACAAACCTCCATAAATTTGTCCACTTTCTGTTAGTGCATTCAGTGAAAAAGAAGTTCTTATATAACCAGGACTAACGACTGTAACTTTTATATTTTTTTCATGCAATTCTGCTCTACAGCAATCACACCAAGCTTGCAATGCATATTTAGAAGCTGCATATGCAGACCTGTCATATTAATGAAAAAAAAATTAAAATTTTTTTCGGACATGCTTTGAAAAAGATTTAAATATAAAATATTTCAACCTGAATGGAATTGAAATTTTGCCTTGAATGCTACTAACACATACTATGTGACCCGACTGTTGCTGTATCATGTATGGAAGGACAGCTATAAAACAATAAGTTTTTTAACAAAGAATATATAAGTTTCATTACAAGTTACATTATCTGATTACCTTTTGCTAAAGCAATTTGAGCGAAGTAATTTGTAAGCATTATTTTTATATTTACATCCATATTAGTATTAATAATTTCACCTCTGTAAGCAATGCCAGCATTATTAATCAAAATATCAATTTTTCCATGTATATCTATTATTTTTGCGACTTCAGTTTGTAGAGAATTAATACTAGTTATATCTAATGGTAAAATTACTGGAGGGTAAGTTGGTATTGTCTAAAATAAAATTAAATTGCTAATAATGAATTTAAAAGAAAAGTATTTATCAATAGATACATACAACATGAGTATTCATTAAGTCATTTTTCACTCTTTCCAATTCCTCTTTCCTTCTAGAAATTAAAATAAGTTTACAACCAATATCATAGAAAACATGTGCCAATGCTTCTCCTAACCCAGAACTAGCTCCAGTTATTATCACAACCTAAAATATTAATTAAAATATAAGCATTGATTACTTTCAATATTTATAAAATACAAATATTCCAGTAATTTACTTTATTTTTTACCTTTCCACGTAACATACTTTTTCTTCTTTTTTGTTGCATTATATCAAAGAAATGATATATCAACCATGGAATAGTGATAGGAAATCCAAACAATTTAAATAACCACCATATAAGATGCCAACCTTTTAATGTTTCTTCTTTCATAATTTGAGATATTTGTATTGTATATAATCACAGTATTGTATACAAATTAGGAGCTTTTAATAAAAAGTGATTATAAGTTATAATATTTGTTATAATATTGTATTATAAGTTATACATTATGTATATGAATATGCGCGTTATAAGGAAGAAAATTTAACCTTGAAACTAAAACTTTGGCCAAGCACATGACAATTGTAATCATACATTTTTATAAATTTATGAATTTAACATTACACCATAGATAAAATATAATATAGATCTAACATTCGTGGTTAAATACTCGTAGTATCATTTCAGTGTAACTTTCAACATTATCGATTGACCATATATATAAATAGTTGCAGGCGTTTACATTTCTTAATAATTTCTTATTATTTAAATACATAACAATAATTATAAGATAATATATATGTTGCTTAGTGAATATAATGGAATAAAATAAATAATTATATTAAGGAAATTTTTAAGTAATTATATTATTTAAAAAATCACAAAAATTCTATTCTAAAAGCAGTATTGTAAATGATTGAAATTCTGTCTTTGATATCTATTCATTTATTGTAGCAATATACAATAATTTATACGTTTGTATATGTAATGTTACACTGCTTATTTCTTATAGCATTCAAAATTGTTCAAACACATTTGTATACATTAAAGATGATGTTCTATCATCAAATGATATAATCTAATATATAATTTATTTTGAATTAAGTTTTAATTCCATTGCTTGCAAAAGTATTGTAAATTTAATACATAGTTCTTAGCGTTATTTCCCAAAGAATAATCAAGTTGAAAAGTGATATCAAATTATTCAGCCTCATCATAAGACTATTGATGATTTATTAATATGATTATCAAACACTTTAATATTATAATAAATATAAAATAATTGGTTTGCATTTTTATTATTTTAATTGCTTATTGTGTTTTCTCAATGTTTCTATTTTAATCCGCTAAAAATCGACACTATCTAACATTACTTTATTATCATTTTATTAAATAAACAGTTCATTATCATTTTAAATAAACAGTAAACATACTTGCAGGGACACGGGTGAAAGTACCGCGGAATTTGAAAAAAGGTGGAAGTAACAAAAAGAAAACATTGGAACATCTGTTTGAATCTGAAAAAGTGGCGCTACTCTCGACCGCGATCGGTGATTGGCTAAAGCGAACGCGCCCATGTCAGCTGTGTGGCACAGGATCGCCAGTCGTCCGTCGTAGACGCGGATTCGTGCAAATGGCGTCACTGCCAGTATGAGCGAGCGTATGCCGTCTAATAACGCGTACGGGCCTCGTCCGGGCGCGGCGCCGCGCGGCCCAGCCTGACGGCGAGCGTGAGTGCGACGATATTGGTCGACATCGAAAGAAAATTAATACAAGGGGATCGTTAAGTTTCGTCGTCAAGTTACAACGGTGTGTACGTATCAGCGACGAGTGGTGACACGCAGTGAAAAGGAGAGGTGAGTGCCAGATAGGAAAAGAAACTCGACAATAAGAATTCTGGTGACCGCTTACGAGAAGTGCCGTGTTATGCATACGCGTTCATTATCCGCGAAATAAATACACCTAATCTGATATAGTATACTATTCTAGCATATTTTCGATCATCGACTAATCTTTCACTATACAAACGACGAGTCTATATTATGCGAACCTTTTGACTCCGGATGTTTTTATGCAAGTTGATTTTATTGCTAGTTGTTACAAGGTATGAATGCGTCATACGATTTCTACCGCAGTAAGACAGAGATGAGAGTTCGAAGCCAACTTGTAAACGACTTTTGAAGCAGGATAGACAAATACGACGAAAGGAAAAGGAAATGTACGCGCAGTAGTTTCCTCATTCGATTCATAACCATACTAGATGGTGACATGCCATGCGTGTATCATTGCCAAATCTATCATGATACTTTAAAATATTGTATCATTCTGTGTATATTTTCACAGGAGCGAAATATGAAAAATCAGTATATCGTTGTTCACAATGCGATTTTTATCCGTGGTGTTATACGATCGTATACGTTTCATTGCTTAATGCGTATATTTGCAGTGAGGCATGTAATATATTTATCGTATACAACGATTAGGAATATCCTTATCGCGTTTCATGGAAGTTTTTGTAATACTGTTATTCTGACAAGTCGTTTGAATATGCTGTTGTTATCGCGTAGTCAGGACAGCCATGTTTCTCTCCTCAGCTAAAAAACACGTTTCTCGTGGCCACGCGCACGTGTGGGCGAAGCAGAATGTTTTTGTTTGCGCCGCGACGAGTTCCTAAATACAACCGACGGTTGCATAAGAGATCGAGGTGTGCCCGTCTGAAAAGAGTTCTGGCGTCTTATAAAAACTTAAGCTCGTTTGTGTCTTCGATATATAGCCAACTTCGCGAACGATACACAGATTAAACGAAATAAAAACAACGCAGTTACGTCGTATTGTCTTTTAATGCACACTCAACGGCAAGTGTTCAAACAAAATAGAATTACAATGAAACATCTGATAAAATACGCATGGTATTCCGCGATTACGTCACGGTGTAATGTGTTATCTTCATGTATATGATCGAGCATTTCTACTCGCCTAATTTATCGATAGAGATAGACTTATCGATGGAGCCTTTCAGCCATAGAACACGCGTTTTTCATAGCGACGAAAAAATTTCAGTAGCTATATGTATTGGCTGCACTTGCTACATTTCGTTTTCTATAAATACAACAGAATTTTTAAAAGTACACGAGGAAAGGAAAAAACCTTCGTGTACGAGCGGATAAAACGGTTAATCTTACCGATACTGAGTGACTCCGGGGTGAAAGAGCATTAACACTTTTAAGATAATAATGTCGTGGAATATTAAGACCATTTATTAAATAAAATTGTTGCAAAGGGAATCCTTGATAAACGTACTTGCGTAATATTACGGGATAAAACGTAGTTCTGTGACTAATGTTAATAAAATGTAACTTTGGAACTTTTGCTCAATGGCTAACTGATGCTTTACTCGTCGTTATATAATAAAGTATTGTTTTATTTTGTTAATTTGTTTCACGTATACGCGATAGAAATTATAATTTATTGATAATGAGTTTAATCTGTTCTCTTGGATAATGTTGATAAATTTCGACGTGTTTCTAGATCTAAAAATATATCATTAGTATTAATACCTGGTCGATAAGTGGAAAGAAAGATCTATCCTCGTAACTGGTTTTAACAGATCAACTCATAATTTACAATATCGAATACCGACTATTCGGTGCCTATTAGAAAAAGATTTCGATTCTTGTCAAATTTTTTCGTAGCATGTATCTCGTGAAGGTTTCCATGTGCCTTTATTAAAAGTATCTATTTCGTATTGCATATTAAAATTGGTCTAATGTAAACTAACCTTTAACTCATACGATTCTTTACACTTTATAGAATTACGGTCGGTACCAGTCGGTAACAGAGTTGCAATTTCTCAAATATTTGAAAATGTTCTCATTCTATTTAGATAAATGTAAATTCAGCCAGTTTAAACGAATCAGTACAAATCATGCATTATGAAAATAATTTAAGTTTCCCTAGTTCCTTTACAACACGTGTATTTACTTACGTATACATATACATATATATGTCATTTCTTTATGTTACGACGCAGTATGTTAATTCTTATCATTGAAATTTTTTAATGTTCATTTGGCTTGGGCTACAAAATTAATTATAAGATTTTTTGCATGTAATCTTAATCTCCTAAAGGGAATTAACTCATCATTTAGACTTATTGTTAAATTATCAATCTCTTGAACATAATTTCTTGATTTAAAAGTTTTAGATCTTGTATCACATCACCAATTAATTTACAAAATAAAAAAATTGTATCGAATACAGTATAAATAGGAAAATTGGCATTAAGTATATCAAAATATGCTTTGCATTGAAATTTCTCTTTCTCAAAATTTTCAAAATTTGAAGCTATATTCGTAATATATGAAAAAAAAAAAATAAAATTGAAAGATGGTTCGGTTGAACGAGTTAACGTTTTAAGTTTGTTCGTTCTCGCATGCATATGGCAAATATGCGTGATGTTTAATTTTAGACAACGGAATATTCGCGGTTCTGCCGAAGAAGTCACTGACCATCGAAAATTCTGGCGCGCGGTCATGTTTTCATGGAAACGAGACGGTCGAAACAGCGACATTAACGTTCTTCGGTCGTTCAACTGAGCATAAAGGTTGTTTACATGCTTCGAATTCGCGCGTTAGCGAGGAAAGTGTTCCAACGAGAGACATTCTCTTTCATTATACACGGTTCAATGCTTCATAATAATCGCAATAATAACGTCATAAAGAGGAAATTTAATAACTGTTTTAATGATAAGTTTAACGAGAAATGTAATAAGATGCAAGGTTAGCGGAAAATGAAAATAAAACGAAAGCGCGGAAGCAAAAGTTGTTATTAATAAACGAGAAAGATAGGCAAACGTCGAACAGAGAATTGCGAGCTTATCAATTGTTCGATAAAGATACTTGTGTCTGGCGGTAAGGATTTGTCCTATCGAGATTGAACGTGTAGACTTTGCAGCCTACAGATTTCGTGAAATGAGGTCGACTAACATTACTAAATTCCGTATTAGAAACCTCGTTCTACATTCCTTCTACATATGTATCGTTGGATTTGCTAAACATTCAAAATGTCAATTTGTATTTTTTTCTTTTTTTATTTTTTTGCCAATTACATTCAGAGTTCTCTTTTTTTCCTTGTTGCAAAGATATAGCGATTAGATTGCGATATTTATGCAAATTTTCGTTTCTATTAATATAGTTAAAGGAACAAACTTGTTGCACGTAATTAATATTATAAGTGGTATATTGCTTTGAATAATTTACACATTTTTGCACCTTGTATGCAACTTTACATCTGCACTTTTTTACGTTTTTTTTTTATTATAATCAATTTTTACAGTCTGCGTATTTTTGCAGTCAAAGTTTTCGATGAATGTGTGACGTCGGACGGCCGTTTGTTTGACGCCTAGAGTTATCGTGACAATTCGGCGTGTTACGATTATTTGATACAGGGTGTTCTGTACCGAAAGTGTGAGCGAAGAGAGAATGAATATGCGTGATAGTATATTGATTATGAGGTATGGAATGTTCGATCGGTCTTTGTTCAGGAGCAATCGGCTTCAATCGGTTCTTTGAACGGTTCAGATCAAACAGCAAACGAGAATGAAATCGGTACTATATTCAACAAACACCATCCTATATTCTTTGCACACCATACTATATTCAATAAACACATTCCGTTCCCAAGCGATACACCGGATGTAAAATCATGGCACGCCATCGATAACTAATATTATAAAAGAGGATAAGAATCAATTCAGTTCAGTCAGTTCATCTTCAGAGACAGGTAGTTTTAAGATCCGCGCAGTTCTTCTATATTTTCATTCCATTTTATATTAGCTTTCAGTTTTCTATTTCCATATACATACGTGTTTCATATGCGTTAAGTTATAATTATTAGATTAGAGCACACATACACCCTCTTATATAGTGTCACCATTATTATTATTATTTAATATTCCTAGTGAACTCTGCTATCTCATTCGAACATCCTAATAGCACAGTTTCCCCGCAGTCGGGACGTGACAAATGCATAAAAATACGCAGTATCATTATATTACAATCGATGGTATGGCTGCAGCAAAAAGACAGTTCCACTTTCCATTAATTCGAGCACAATCGTTTAAAATCAATTTAAATTAATTATTGATTAAACACGAACCAAAATCAGTTAAATTCGTGACACAAGTGATAAATTTACGCTTCTGAAGGTACGAAACTTGTACCTTTCTTGTTCTCCTTCAACAAATGGAATATAAATATTGGAGCTCCCTTCTTATTGCTGCAACCTTATCTCCAATAACATTCCGCAATATTTCTTGACTGATAGATCAGCCCGATGATCGATAACAAATCAAAGATGTACGATTCATGTTGAAAGAGGAGCTAAATTGGGAAAGAAATTAAATTAAAAAAAAAACAAAAAAAACAAAAAATGGCAAATGTAGGTGAAAATACGTATCGACGCGACTGTGATCCGCAGAGTGGCGCTAAAGAGGGATGCAGGCCGAACTGATATACAGAAAGCCGTTGACAATGATGACCACGACACCGAGCCAGAGTTTTCATCGTCCAGGAAGGAAGGAGAATAGCGGCAAGGATTCCCGCGAGACCATACATTCTGGCCATTTTATGGTGTCCGATTTCGAAGCGGAGGCCCAGGACGACGAGGATGAACTCGCTGTCCCAGTTCCTGACGAGGAAGCTGCCAAGATCGCGATTATCGCTTCGACAGGACTTTTGCAAGAGAAATTTGCCAGCAGCTCCTCGAACGACAAAACGTCCCAGCAGCTCAGCATTGAGACCTCTTTGAACAAGTTGTTCCAGTGCATGTCCCTTGCATACAGGTGAGTTTCTCTTTTCTCTCGGTTTTTCTTGATGAATCTGTTTGCCTTCCGCTTCTTTCGATAGGTCATTGTCGAGGAACCTTATCGATGCGATGTCAGAATCTGATTTTGATTTTTAATTAATTTTACTAATTCAAGAGGATTCATTTAGTAGCGTAGTAGTGTACAAAGATCGCTCCATGGTCTCTCTTCGTAGTGAAAGAGAATTTCGGAGAATGTCCACTTATAATACTGTTCGTAATTTTTGTTTATTTTCGTAAATTTCCATAGTTTATTTCTCGATTCTTTATTAAAGTAACACTGTTTCATTGAAATTAGTATTAGCATGTGATTGAGTATCGTTGAAACTAGTTTGATTTAGAAGTTTCGACACTCAAGTGATATCAGTGCGTTAAAGCAGACTACAATAATTTATATTAAATTACTAAAATTCAGGATATTCGATCTTATTTTGTAGCCAACATCTTCCACGAGCAGAGAGGTTAATAATAAAATTCATTATTTATTTATGAAATTCATTATTTCTTAATTCGAAAATTCGGCTACAAATTGATATCAGTTGAAATCAATGATACCAATAGTATCAGTTAAGAGTTAAAACAAAAATATCCATCCACTCGTAAACAATCAATCATGAAGATCCGTCGAAGTTGTAAAAAAATTACGCCCTAACAATGAGAAAAAGAATCGAATCATCTACATCGTGGTGAATAGTTAGTTTCGTGACTCCAAAGCGTCCGGAGGTTTTGCAAGAACTGGCGAACGAACGCGTGTTCCCTCTCGCAATCGGTACGCTGTGAGATTAGTAGGGCAGCGCAGAGATTCGAGTCGTATTTCCAGCTCGGCAACCGGACAAATGCCGTACCGCCGGCATTCCGGCTGATAACGGACAATTGAATTAATGAAGAAGAGGCCGTAGAACCAAACGACAACATCGCAATTAAGCCTCGGCCTCGACGAAGCCGACAGGCTGCCTCCGCGACAATTTCCGTTTTCCCTGTACGGGACCAGACGAACCCCGCGGAGGAGATCTTCCTCGAGATCGTTCCCTTCCAACCCCTTTGATCGACGACGATAAGCTACCTCATCGTTTGAAAATGATACGATTCAAAAACGATAGAGCTCCTATTTTTTTTTTTTTACTGTACGTGCGAGTTGTCAGTGAAAATTCCTCCAGTTCGTTTTTCTTTTAAATTTCATTGAACTGAGATATGAATCATGGTTATTTGTCATTTGTTTAAATTGGCGATGTGAAATTGCACGTTGATAATTTGGTCGTAATAACTTCGAATTGTATTTTATCATTACGTGGTGTTTCTGCATCTCTGCAATTTTTCTGATTACTGAGCCTCATTTCGATGACAAACATTAAACGATTATATTAGATGTTTATATTTCCATTATATTATTTGATACATGTGTATGGAAAATAATATTATTTATTGATACAAAACACTACTAACAATCATCTGAATCTTCTGCAATGACTCGTAGTTTTTTCCCTAATGAGTAGTCTTTTCTTTTCACGATGGTGACAAATCGAAATGTAATAAAGCGAGATATACTTGTATTTTTCTGTATTACCAATTTTTTTTTTTTTATTTATTAAGTGTTATAGTAACATATTTGCTAGTCTCTTCAGATATTATCAGCAAAATACTAATGAATTTAGTATTTTTTTTGGAAGTCATGGTTTCAATTAGAAATATGTACTCTTTCGCAACAAGTTGTTTGCCACTTTATCGTAGAATCTTTCCAATTTTATATCTAATCATTCAGCATTTATCGCGAGTGAGAGAAAATTAATGGATCTCTTTTTTTAATAGTCAGTTAATACGTGATTAACCAGCTAATCGAAAGCTTGAAAGTTCGAATCGAAAGTTGATTAGTTAACGATCGATTATGAAGGATTAGCATGTCTTTAGAGCGAATCGAAGCCATCAGCCTAGGCTAACATTCTATCGAGATCAAGAGAAAGAAGCTTCACTATATTCTCTTCGTTTTTTTCTTTCTTCCCGGGAATGGTATTTTAAGTTTATTCCATTTGAAAACAATCGACGCTGTAATCCGGGTGCAGCGTAATCGAAAACAAGACCCGCTGTTCGTGTATTTTTAATGTGGAATCGGCCAGACGGCGAACATCTCTGCCCTGTGGATATAAATAAATATTTTGATTATTTATCCACAATTTAATTTTTATGCCGCGCAATCTCGTATCTTGCTTTTGCACAAGTCGACGAGACAAAACAAGAAAAAGAAGAATACGTTCGTTCTGGATACACGATGTTATTCATAGGATTGTTCTTAAAATTCCGAATTACGATATTCACGGCCAGCAATGTAATTCTACATGATTATGGGCAATAGAGTCATTTCAAATTTCGTAGTAAATTGCAGCTAAGCATTCTTTTTTCATAATCACGTAAAATTTTTTCACATAAAAGCTGTGAATCTTAACTGATATTAGACTGTAACCTTCACGTTGCTTAATTTTGGAATTTTTCATTTGATTTAATCTTCAGAATATAAAATACGAAATGAAATTAAACACTTTCAATTTCAATACTTGTAATATTTGTTAGTCATAATTATTCTACAATTTTTTTTTAATTTTATACAGAAAGTTGTGTTGCCAAATTTTTTATATTTACTGCCGTTTTAATAGCAGAACGCCGCATTGTCAAAGTAATCTCAAGTATTTCACGTCGAGAATCGTTAGTTACGAACGTGTTGAAATTCATTTTGACGTATCAGCTGCTGAGTAAGTCGATGTTATCGCTAGTTATTAGATTTTTTACACAGTATTTCACGATTATATCACGATCTAATGAATCAAGGACCACCTTTGCTGACAAATTTGCTCCTCAGACGGGGCACGTGCGAAAAATTCCAAAGTTCGTCAAGGCTGTTTGTCTAACCGATAACAATATTCAAACAGGCGAGATTCAATAAGTAGTAAGCATTGGAATGAGAACGTGAACTTAAAATAGAGAGATGAAGGAAGAGTACACATTCGAGAGAAAATGAAAAATCCTACGTTCAATTAACGCGAACCTATAAATTACTCGCAACTTCTACGTGCAGGAAATCGGTTAGTTACATTGTACTATCTTGGTCTCTTATTTCTACGATCATTGTGGAGATTTCTTCATGGTTACATCCGTGCAATTAAAACGATAAAAAGGCTTGTAAATTATGGGCAATTATTTGCACAACGAATTTTGTTATTTTTTTTTTTTTTAAATAATAACTGATTTTAGCTGAAACTACACTCCATGAGGAATAATTTATAATTTCATTTATTACCGAGTGAAAATTGAAACGATTTTACAGAAATTGTTTGCGATTTTAATTAGATATCGTTTTTTTGCAATATACACGTGAACATACAGTCATAAAGTGCTATAATGAGGTACTTTTTATATTTCAAGAGTTATAACATTTCAACAAATCTCCGTTTTAGTTTTATTCTTTACTTATCTGTTTTAGTTCTACTGATTTCCAACATTCGCAATCTACTTATTATTATCTACTTATAATTATCTACATATATTTTCGGACGAACCATATTTAATGAAATCATGAGGTTACGAACTTCTCTACTTGTAAGAATTATATAATATAATGAATGTCGTGTTGAAGAAAAGTTGAAATATATATTAAGTAGAAATTACAGATACTGGAGTGTTCCTTTGGTCTCCTGAGGAAAACTGAAATCCAACAATGCACATAACGTAACATATAAAAATATTGACTTAATGAAGAGAGAAATATCCAAAATACTACTCGTTTATTGAGTAAAAAAAATTTCTACTTAAGTTCTATTACTATTTGATTATTGGACAGCATAAGAATTTAACACATTTAACTTTAGAATTTTTCACTAAATTCAATTTATTACTAGTTTTCTTTTATCCCAGAATATAAAATACCCTTAAATTTTAATAATCTAAAACGAATCATCATAATCATCGACGGATCGAAGATTAATAATTACATCCACAGGAATATGAATTTATATCATCTAGTTAGCGTAAGCGCTTCTCAATTGAACAATGTTTATAGAAAATGATTCGTGTGTCAGACGTAAAATTTTCCGGGAAAGAAAACATTGACGTCATAGTTTAGTACTTACTAATGACTGATCACAAAAGGAAAATTCCACTTAAATTGCGTGTGACGATATTCTCATATTGGCGCATAAGACATTTTTCAATAAAGAAACGAAATTTTCCAATTTTTGGCATTTGCAGTGTTTTCTGCAAATATTTTTCAATTCGCACCAATAGAGAGAGGAAGAGAGAAAGAGAGAGAGTGAGAATACAAAGAGCCGTATACAATGAACTTTGTACAATTGACAATATACGATGCAGTTTAACCGTAGTATGCAAAATCAACGCATTACTTTCTTCGGCCGGTCAGCCGTTATTTTAGTCTGTCCCTGCGATTAAATAATAAATGAGCCTGATATGGTAATTCCGTCGATTGCGTTTCACCGTTGTTATTGTTCCGCCTTCCCGATGAAGGGGTCAATCGATTGATGATGATTTATATCGGAACTGCAATTGGACGCGCGAAGTCAAAAGACTTTTATCAGTGGAAGTACAGTGACGATGCTGTTGTCATAATGACGCAACGTAAAAAAAAAAAAAAAAACGTTCAACTTCCTGAACAACACGCTCGTAAATTACGTTTACAGCGTTCGTCATGCCGGAATAAAGAGCAAGGGAATGAGGTGAAAGACATAAACGTGCAACGTGCCATTCTCTCTAGATCTCGATGTTAGACGAGGGATACACGTATATATGTTTTTTCGCGTTTCGCGTTCTAATCCAAAATTATGTTACTTTATCAGTGGCAGCGAGATAGGCTTCTGAATCAGGCAATCGTATCAGGTATACCATCGGTGGAATAATTCTTGACACGCCTCTTATCCTTTTGTCTGCGTCTATCGATGGGCTGATAAGCGCGTTGTATCTTATCGTCGGCGTGCTCAACTA